ACTGATGGCTTCTTGCATGTTAATGAGAATCCATCCTACAGAATCCTCTTTCAATTAGTTGAAGGCATATATGCAAAATATGCAGTCTGAGCAGGAACAAGACCCAGCAGGGAGAAGATTAGGAATTGGGGAAAAAAGAGAGAGAGAGAAGACTAGCTTTCAAAAGCTGCAAGAAAAAAAGAGAATAATGAAACAGGTTCCCAGGAGTCAAGCTCCTTTTTCTTAAGATGTTTTCTTTATATAATCCCAGAATAAACTGAGGATGGGAAGTCCGTATTGGATCTCCTACCTCCAGCTGCTTATTCTGCCCTCTGACGTCTCCAAGCTGTCTTCTGGAACAAAGATAGGTTTTTTTTTCAGTCTATCAAACATGGGAAAGTATTCCTCTTTTTTTCAGCCTTTGCTCAGTTCCTCACGTCCGCTGGCAAGCCTCCCAGCTAGAAACCCCAAGTTATGTAAGGATGCTGGAAAGCAGAGCACCAGAAAAAAAAAGGGACAATACATAAAACATTATGAGAAAATATTGTAATTGTAATCATTAATTATTATAGCATCGATTATTATTATTAATCATAATTACAATGCTTTCTCACAATGCTAGGCAAACAAAATTCTTTTTTCTTTTAAATCTGATGAAATGCATACGTATATACACACATACAAATATACACACATATATTAGACATTATCTCAAAGGAGAAGAAAACTTTAGGAACAATTTCAGGGGTGTTGAGAAAAAGTAGCAAAGGAATTGTGTATGAATGACCTTTATACATTCCCCCCCCCCAAAAAAAACTTACAACATCACAGGATTCACCAAGTTCAATGAAATCTCAAGGGCAAACGTGACAGTACTGCTCCCACTGGGAGTTTATTTTTTTTTAAAAAAACATAACCATGTGTCATGGCAGATAATTCCCTTGTGAAACAATTGGAGAATTTCTCCTTCCCTAAAGTAATTTAAAGGCATTGCCACATCATTTGTCAGCCTCTAAATTTGGCAGAGCATTTCAAAATCCCATTTCTCTCCTGCCCAAATTATCCTTTTTTAAAAAACATCCCAAGACAATTAGAAAAACTAATGATGCTGGGCAAAAATCAGACTGCTGCATTCCTGGTTCCTTATTAAAGTCAAAATGTTCTCTCCTGTGATTGCCAGAATCTGGAATGTTAGAAACATGGAAGTAGCTACAGATAGTCCTTGACATGCAACAGTTTGTTTAGTGACCAAAGTTACAACGGCACTGAAAAAAGTGACTTATGGCCATTTTTCACACTTACGACCACTGCAGCATCTCCATGTGATCAAAATTCAGATGCTTGGCAACTGACACATACTTATGATGGTTGAAATGTCCTGGGGCTCATGTGATCCACCTTTTGCGACCTTCTGACAAAGTCAATGGGGGAGTCAGATTCACTTAACAAACGTGATACTCACATAACGACTGCAGTGACTGACTTAACAACTGTGGCAAGAAAGGTCGTAAAATTGGGCAAAACTCATTTAACAATTGTCTTGCTTAGCAACATAAATTTTGGGCTCAATTGTGGTCGTAAGTCAAGGACTATCTGTACTTGTATCGCCTGATAAACTACATGCATTGGTCAATTCTCAATCCCCAGGGAAGCAGTATTTGATCTGATACGACAAAAAGAATGCCTAGTGGTTAAGGCACCAGGCTAGGAACCAGGAGATTGTGAGTTCTAGTTCTGCCTTAAGATGACTGGAAACCTTTGGGCCAGTCACCCTCTCTCTGAGTCCAACTCACCTCATAGGGTTGTTGTGGAAAAAAATAGGAGGACGAAGGAGTTTTAGGTATGTTTGCCATCTTCAGTTATTTATAAAAATAATAATAGTGGAATAGAAATAAATAAGATAAATCACATTTCAACAAAAAACCCACTTTCAGTATTTTTCATGGAGGTAAAATACTGATAACCATATTTCAAAATACTATTCAAATTTCAAAACAATAAAGAGGGGGGGGGACTTTAGTGACAAAGTGTAGATAAGCCTGAATTATCTTACCACGTGAGAGAGAATTGCACATTGACAGATTCTAAATTGTGGAGATTTGGGAACCGATTTGGCAGTTGCTAAGCATGCCTCCCACTTTCCTGAGCCTAGCAAAACAATCATTATTTCACATTAATTATAACATCACATTTAGAAGTAGGCAAAGCTAAGCCCAAACGCTATTTGTAGTCATAATTCAACCCACTGGAACTTCATTATCAGACAGAGGAGCCTTCTAAAAGAGGAAAGACCAAAAAAAAATAAAATCTTATTCACTCAAGGTTTGAAAGAAGATTGAATACAAAGGATTCTTTTGCTTTCCTTTGCAGTTTCTTTGTGTTAAGGAAGAACAGGGATGAATGCCAGCTCCACTTCCTTCACATCATTTTCCATAAACAGATGGGGTGGCCACCTAAAGTGGAGAACTTCTATCTGTAAAGCTCTCTTCTTGATTTAGGATAGTGATTTTCCAGAGTCATTACTCCCAGGAAGAATCTTTACTTAACACAGCGGTTCTCAACCTATGGGTCGCGACCCCATTTGGGGTTGATTGACCATTTCACGGGGGTCGCCAAGCAAGGCTGTCCGCCATTTTTTTCCCCTTTTCCGGCGGGTGCCTTACCTCCCTTGAGCTGGGCCAGCTGGTGGTCGGCCTGCTCCGTCTCTGCCGCTTGCCAGCTACGCCTCGGCCAGCGCAGGGGGCAGAACCACGCATGCGCGGCGCTCCCGGGCAGGAAAAGTCCTCGACTTACGACCGGTTGGGTAGTCCTCGACTTACGACCGGTTTAGTCCTCGACATACGACCGGTTTAGTCCTCGACTTACGACCGGTTGGGGGTCGCGGCATTAAAAAGGTTGAGAACCACTGACTTAACAGAAGAGGCTGTCCGCTCCATTGACTTCGGGTGGTTGTAGAGGATAAGATGAAAAAATGGGTCTATTGCACAATCTCTTAAGCCAACCAGAACATACCAGTTTTGTAAATGCCTGAAGTGGCCTTTTTTACTGGAGGTAACTCATTCCACCTGCCTCAAGAAGACTTAGGATTGATTCTTTCTGGCTGTGTTTACATATTGTGCTAACAGGCCAGAGTGATGGCTATGGTTTTGGGAATTACATCAGGAAGATCAAGGTACAAGTTCCCATTGATCATGGAGCTCACTCAATGTCTGAACCAGTTATTTTCACTCAGCCCAAACCCATCTTACAAAACTGTTATTACAGGATAAAACTAAAGAGAAAAGGTGGGATATAAATTCAATGAATACATAAAATGACAAATAAAACTAATATTATGGCTAATCATTGAACGTACTGGTTTCACCTAATATATTGAGTCATTGGCTAAGCATATTGGCTGACCTGGCACAATGCACTGAGCAACAAACAAGCCAACTTCAGTTTCTGAAGTGATAAATCTATGTAATTTCAGGTAAAGAATGACAGGGCTTACTGCCTTTTTGGTGTAATAACAGCAACAATCAGACTCTCTGGCTTTCTGGGTGGATATGTTTTGTTATTTTCAGAAGCCCCACTTATAACCCGCAGTTGTACACCCCAAATATAAGTTTATTACCTCTGAGAGAACTCAACTGAATCACAACTAATTCATTTTAATAGAAAACCAGTGACTGTACTATTTTGAGAGACAGAATTTCTTAGAACCTGCTGAACAGGAAATGCAAACACTGTTATTAAAGGCCTATTTCTCTATTGCTCAAAATACCAGTTACCAAGCACTAAAGAGGTAAGGACACTAACATCACTATCTGTAGCCAGCAACGGATGTCTCCCTCCCTCCCTCATCAGTTTAAGGATTGAAATAAAGGTTTTTATACACAGTGGGAATTAGAAATACTTTATAAATAATCATTCGGATTCAGAGGTAATCCAGGTACAATATTCCATTCAACAACAATTTCCATTTCATCTTATTTTGATCTTTGATCCAATTATGCTTCTCAAATGGTAAGCATTTAAAACCTATTTCAGTAAGATACTCATGCTTGTTTTTCTGGTGCGACACATTCCTCAGAAAGACATAACAGGATGTTGAAGTGGTAGCGTGGGTTGTATTCTACCATTTCTGATTCGATTCTCTAGCTACAGAGCAAATGGAAGATTTGATTAAACATATGTTGCTATTCACTTTCTCTACGGATAAAGAGGAAGTGACTCACTAGTGGGATTCCCTTGAATGGTAGTGTTGGCCTAATCAAGCACCTTCAACAGAAACCTTCAAGGTGAAACCCCTGTCAAGCCTTTGTTGAAGTTCCAATTTTAAAACAATAGTGGGAAGGGTTCTGACCTATGCCTGGAACAGTGGAAATGGTTGGAAAGGAAATGTATGTCCTGATATAGCACTGAAACCTGCAGTGAGCTAGAATAGAAAAGTCAGAGTCAGCAGGATCTACTTCCCCTTCCAGATGCCTTTCATCCAAGAGAGCACAGATAGGTTTCTCTCTCTCCAGAATGCCCAAACACTATACTTGGCTTTTCCATGAATATTTTTTAATGTTTGCAAATAATGTGCGTATGGATTATCTTGATCTCTCATCAGAAAGGGCAAGGAACCATTTTGGACAATGGGCTTCAGTTTGTTGCAACACCAAGGGTACTACCTCAAAGAAGCAGAATACCATTTCAACTGACTCAGCCCTCATACCTCAATTGATGTGAAGAATGATGAAATAGTACAGCACTGGACTTAGTTTTTTAAAAAGCACACCCTCATATGTACATATAGGAAAAGTAGGAAGTTCAGGGACTAAGCACTAAGTGTGGATATGCCCATGCTCCCAATTATTAGCAATGTGGACTGAATCATGTTGAATTACTAATTTCTATTGTTTTACTCTGCAATTATTGATTCATGCAAGGTGTCAAAGCAATAACATCCAATGTTAGCAGTTCTTTGAAGAGTTCCATCTGTCGGAACCATGACACAAGGATGCCACAATAGAAAATAGCACCCATCTTTATTTCTGAACCATGTTAAAATATTTTTGCCAGATGGAATGGCTGCATTTCGTGCCTTTCTGAAGACAGAATTCAGTGAAGAAAACCTGGAGTTCTGGCTGGCATGCGAGGAATTCAAGAAGATACGGTCAACTACCAAACTAGCTACCAAGGCCCACCGGATTTTTGAAGAATTTATTGACGTGCAAGCACCACGAGAGGTGAGCAGATGCAAAGCATGGATAGTTGGGCAGGGATGAGTCTGAGAGCCGAGGATGTTCCTCTTGGGTTCAGCATTACCTTTAGAACTGGGGGTCCTTAGAGATCCTTGGTATTACTGTAGCAGCTGAAGAAACCATGATCACTCTGATAATGTCTCAATCATCTTTGAATAAGTAGCATCATACCTAAAATGTCTTTAAAACCATATTTTTATTCTGAATATTTGAAGAAAACAAATCCGAAGGATATATGCTTGCCTTCTCTGCATATCTTTTTATCTACACATCCCTATGAAATATGTTAGATTTTGAGATTATGACTGGCTCACAGTCAACTACGTTTCACGGTGGAAGGGAAGGATAGGAAATAATTGTGATTAATAATTATTTTCATACACAGACCGGGCATGAAGTTGGCAATACAAGTAGTCAATATTCTGTAATGTCATTAATATGCCAGTAAGCCTGATATCAGATTCATGTTTCTGATGAAAAGAAAATACTTGTTTCTGACTATGTGACAAAACTGCTCCATTCAAATGAAAGGAATAGGAAAATAATTATTTTATATACATTATTTTCATGTTTTTCTCTCCTTAGGTAAACATAGACTTCCAGACAAGAGAGGCAACAAGAAGGAATCTAGAAGAACCATCACCATCATGTTTTGACCAAGCCCAAGGGAAAATTCACAGCCTTATGGAAAAAGACTCTTACCCCAGGTTCCTGAGGTCCAAAATTTATACAGACCTGTTATCTCAAACCCAGAGGAGGCTCAGCTAGGGCAGGGATCAGGAGGAGGAGTGTCCTCCTTAGACACCACAAGCTTCCTGCACTAGCCACATCCATTTCTATGTGTGATGTTAAATTCATTTTCTTACAGCAGCAATAGAAGGAGAGGAGAAATGGAAGAAGCATGGAGAAATTGAGTTGTGTACATGGATAAAACATTTCACAGTATAAATCCAGTGCTGTCTTTGGATCCTCATCGTTCTATGTATGCATGTCCGTATTTTAACTGAAGACCATGCATATGTATAGCAGTAAAATCCTTAGTCCAACCCTGATAGAAGCTTCTAGCATATTACACTATATCTGGACAAATCAATGAATTGAAGTAAAAGTAGGGTTAAGAACAATATTCAAATTGGACTACTCTCTGAAATGTTGCTGGAAGGAAAGCATATAAGAGAGAAAAAAGTTATATTTAACATCTCCAACCTGTTTGTTTTGAGGTTGCAGCTTCTGGTATTTCCCAAAGCCCAAACACATCCAGTGGGGACTGAACAGGGGAGTGCGATTTTGAATGAACATAAAATGATCTTGCCAATTTTTCTGTTCAAATAATTCAGGTTCACACAATTTCAGTTTATAGACTAGGGATAGAAAAACTCATAGCCCTCCAGATTTTTGAGCATCCTTTTCAATTGCAATTGCTGGAAACAGCATCTGGGTCATATGGGGTCATAAACCCAGTGCTTTTTTTCTAAAAAAAAAAAAAAAAAAGATACCGGAACTCACACACGTCATACAACCCGCCTTGCCTATCCTACAAGGTTCCATCCAAAAAAGGTGCCGGAACTCCGTTCTGGGTGTTCTATAAGAAAAAAAGCCCTGCATATATCCCATATACTTTATCCCCTGTATGCTGAACTAATGACAACTGGATGCGAAATTCAATGTCTTCCCATCAATATTTTGAAGATTACTTTTTTTTAGAAAATATTTTGTACAAATATGTGTAATTTAAAGTAACTCCTTCACGTTGCCTGATAGCAAGACTGATCTTGGCAAGGATTTCTGAATATATTTTTCATATTTTAGACTAAGGAGGCAAAAGTCTTTCTTCCTGGTCAAAACATCTGTTTCCTGTACAGAAAGGACCAAGCAACCTTGATTCATATGGCTAGTTCTGTTACTGGACTAATTGTCCAAGGTGCTAGATTTTTTAAATGGCAGATGGGTAGTAGAGCAACACTTGTTTTGTAAATAGGAATTTCTGGAAATTCTGTTGGGATTGGATCTAGACTATTTTGTTAATAAGTAAGAACACGTGGCTGCAGCTTCCCTCACTTGATTATTCCAAAAACCAGAATTGGGTGTAACATTTCTAGAACAAAAATGATAAGTTTTGTTTTATTTTGCCCCAAGGAAGGGCACTTCTGGATTTGAAGCCCAGAAGTCTTATTCCTTTAAGAGCTTCAATCAGAAAGAGGCAAAGTTGCAGAACATCCCAGACTGATGAAAATGTTCATTCTCCTATTTTCATTCACATTGGTGGATTGAAGTGGCACTGTTTCCCCCCCCTTCCATTGCTGTTATTTATTATTACCAAACTGATGTTGGTGCTCTGACCCAGGTTCTAGGGAACCTGCTTTGTGGAGGAAATATCCCTCTTTTGATGAAAAGCCCTATCTTAAAGTTCTGTTTGCGTGAACGGATAGATACTAGACATCATACAACTCATATTTCTCTTCTCTTACAGCAGCATGCCCAATTATGTATATACAGCAGATGTTGTATTTCATAACTTGAGATTTGCAGCTTAAAATAGACTTCACTTAGACATCTGCTGTGTCATGATGTTGTCAGGCTTTGCAGAGAATAAATATTTCACGACAGACTTTGTACTGGATGTGATTGCAGGGAGGCAGTTGAACTTATTTCTACTAATAGGATGTATGTTGGGTTATCAGGTAAAATGGAGATAGAAGGAGGCAGACTGGATGAAGCAGAAGCAATAAATATAGGTGAATTACTATGTATGAATTGGATTTCTAGCTGCCACCATCGAAACCAATCTGCCAATGTCGTCTGAGAAAATATAGCACATTCCTGAAGCATTCCTGAAATTTTATTTTTCTGCCAAAGGCAATTTCAAAGCATTGTTGTCTGGCGCTCTTCCTGATAATCACACTGGATGGAGGCCCCCCAAATGCTAAGCCACTCTGTGTTAGGCTTAGTTTTGGCTTAGCATTTAATAAGAACTCAATCAATGCAGTCTGATAAGTTTATGCATAGAATGAATCCAATATCATTCTCTGCAGTTGAGAATCTCTGTAATGTAACCCAGCAAAATGAAGATAAGGAATTGCAAATATGGATGGAGGAGGTGCAGGAGACGGCTGCTGGGAGTCGTTCTATTCGCATTTATTTCTGGTGTGAGAGCTTAGTCAGATATGCAGTCCCCCCATCTGTAATAAGAACAATAGACTTTTTTTTTAATAAAGAAGAACATAAAGTAGAAAACTGAGCAATATGATGGTGCTTTTGTAGCTTTGTAGTTATAATTTAGAAGGACTCAAATGTAATGGAAGGAAAATGGATTTCCTAGTAGGGACATTCTAAAATTAGAGTAAGAATAATTTAGGAGATTTCTTAGGGAATCAAGGTTGCATTTTTTGCAGGGTTTTTTTGTGTGGGGATATCAAATCTCTGGATTTTAGTCATGTAACACCTACAAACAATAAGAGCTTATTTAGCAAAGGAGAAGGGTATCTATGGCATTCATAGGTTTTTATGCTGGATTATTACTCCCAGGATCCCATGATAGATACTGAGTTGTATTGCAACTATCCTCACCTCCTCACTTAGCAAATGCTTAAAGCATTCAGAAGCAAGATTTAAAATAGAGACTCATTTAGCATATAGTACAGAATGGAAAAATACTGCACAAGCTTATGCAAGGTCATAGACTAGTAAACAGTCACTCTGATGGTTGCAAGGCTGTTTCATAAATATTATTCTTTCTTTCATGTGGTGTGCTTTGGGCTGCAGTCTTCTAGCCCTTGAACAAAAGTAAGGGTCATTCATTTTAATGGTCTTACTTCTAAATCCCAAGATTTGCACTATTACTCTTTCAGGATTGCTAGGAACTTTTCATTATGCTGATAATATTCTTCTGAAGAAACAGTAGAACCTTAGATGAGCTTTCTATCTGCCTTCTGCCTCTCTTTCAGTCTCTGAAAGCTTACCTCATGGTTTAGACTACAGGAAAGTGAATTGTATTTTTTAAAACATAATGAAAGGAAACATCTGAAAGCAGTATAATTATTTTGGTGACTGCTTTTGTGCAAGGAAATTATTTTTCTTGGAAATAAAAATTATTTAGAACTTTATTTTAATGGAAAAATAGTTATCCCTTGTAAATATCATGTGAACAGTATAGCCTCATGTGATGAATAGTTTCTTTCCCTATTAATAAATTCAAGGAAATGGATGCAGGCCATTAATTATCACAATAATATTCCCTGTAAGAGAGGGAGAGATATATGCTTACTTTAATTTAACTCTAATGGACAATCCCAGGAAAAAACATGCTTCTAAGCTCTATTGGTCTAAATATATTAAACAAAAACAATCTGTCATTTATTAGTTAAAGGTTTCTATGCCCCAAATTCTAATGTCACATGAAAGCAAGGGCAGTGGAAAATACACATGATGTTCCCCCAGTTTCTAGAAATCTCTGTTTTGAAAGGTTCTTAATTTGTATGTCATTCCTGTTGTCTCAGGCTTTTCAAGAAACCTTAAAATAAGCATAAATACTGCATGATGTGGATAAAGTGAACAGGCAGGAGCTACTTTCCCCTTCCCAAAAGAGTAGAACCAGAGGTTACCCAAATTGAATCCTGGAAGAACCAAGACAAATAAAAGGATTTTGTTTTACACAGCATGTAATCTTTAGATATTACAATACACTATTAGAATACACTATTACTACCATCTTCAAAACAAGGTTGGACCAATTAATGGAAGTCATGGAGATCAATGGCTATTAGCCTTGATGATGGTGTGACTACCTCTGAAGGCCATTTATGGGAGAGTAGTTGACTACCTTTGCAGTTGGTAGGCCACTGTGAGAACAGCTGCTGGACTAGATGGGCCAAAGTATGAACCAGCAAGGCATTACTTTTGTTGGTTCCATGTCGATTCTTGCATGTGAAACATGGCTGACTGGCTGGCTGTAGTTGGTTTATTCAAGGCTGGGTCTGTTTGAGGTCAAACTTAACTCCTTGGAGATTCACTTGATTCCTTTTTGTGTATTTCATAATACAATAATGCATCAATCTATATATTAGAGTGGGCAGTCAAAACAACAATAAAATCCAACCTGAACTAACACAGTGACAAAGAATTTCATCACAGTTACAGGGAAAATTACATGGATGTGTCATTGTAATTACTAGGAGTCAAGCTTGACATAAAGAGATCTTTTTCAGTTAAATGAGTTATGGGAAATGGTCAGTATGTTTACTTTATTTCTAGTATAGACTTGTGATATTACTTCAATATACATGATTTTGCTGCCACATCAGCAAGAACATATTGCTGTGCATGCCTGTGCCCCTGAGAAACAGAATAAACTGCAGGATATCATCCATATTGATTTTTGGATTATTATTTTATGTACAAAACATTTAAAGAGAGAACATGGAAAACATTATTTGTACACGCATAACTAAGCTTGTGTATTTATTTATAAAAACATGTAGGAATAGACATGTCATAATCTTCTGATTACGGTATATATCTGATTACAATAAACAGTATTAACAACGTTCTTGCATATGGAAAAACTGCAGATCAGGAAGCGTGATTATTTGAATCTCCACACACAAGGTTTCCTTCAGCAGTACTATTGTATATTAGATCAGATCTTTCATCTACAATTTGAACAGTAGAGTAGCAAGAAAACCAAGCCAGTTGTTGACGGTAATTGCTTTGTTCAGAAGGAAGAAATGGATAGGACTGAGAGTCTGCCAATGGGAACTAAAAGATGAATGCTAAGATAGGATGTGATCACTCACAATGGTGAGGTGTAAATTTTACTGGCTGGTCCCAAGCCTGGAATTATCGTGTCTACCTCTGTCTCCTGGACTTTTTTGGGGGTATGGATATAGGAATACCAATATTCTGGAAAAACCTATATTTGTTTTTCATAAGAGTGATATTTTCAAGTCAACATCTCTTCCTCCTACATGAACAGAAATAGACTGTGTAAGCCAGATGTCTGATCTGTCTCACAGCCAAAACCTAATGGACCACAGAGGATTTAAGCAGCCAAAAGTCTTCACCAGCATGGTTATAAGCAGCAAGCTAGAGATAATATATAAGGAATGTCATGGGAACATGTCCCTAAAAAGTAAGGTTAATAAGGTCTTCATGCTGTTGCAAGCAAGACATGAGTATGAGCCTAAAAGATCTGAAACGTGCTGTGTTTGACTCTCTTAAGTATGGCTGGTGATCATCTGCTAAATACTCTGACATCTAAACTCAATGGACCAATTGCTTATAATAGATTTCATTAGTGGCTGAGGGAAATGTTTGGCAGAATTGGCTCCTGAAATATAGAGAACACAAATAACAGCAGTGGTCTCAAGATTGTGTAAGGGAAAATACAATACAAAAGTGATGTAATTTGTAATCTTAGGAAATCACAGACTTCTGAGGGCTACTTACA